AAAATTTAACGAAAAAATTATAATTTGTTAACAACAATGTTAATTTATATAGGGCTGAAATGTAAAAAAATTTTTTTAAATAGACCATAAGTGAGCGTATGTAAGGGCTGTATTGTTTATATATGTCTATATAATATATGTACAATTAATGTATATACATATAGATATGCATATATGTGTTTTATATATATGCGTATACATTAATGTACATATTTCTAATTAAAAAATATACATGTACACTCTTTTATCAAATTCAAATTGATTTGAAAAAATTTTGTATAAGTACGTTCATTTTACCAATTTTATCAATTTTAAATTCAGCGAGCTTTATGAATACAGCGTAGCAATGACGAAAGAGAAATAAAAATTCTAAATTTTACAGGCACAAACCAAAGATTTCTGGTTTATGATACACATGATCCCCGTGCCAATTTCGCGAGTTTCATAAGATATCGACACCATGTAATTTTGATTCAGTTGTTAGCATCTGAATAATCTCCTAATATAAGTAGTTATAATTTCGAATGTTTTTTACAATGATTTGAACAAAACATAAAAATTTTGATTCTTAATTTAAAAAATTTTGATTAAATTATTAAATAAACTATTCCTTTGTATTCAAGCAATTTGACCGAAAGTTCATGATATACTTAAACGTTATACGGGCATACATTTCACGCCGGGCATCCTATGTCACTCTGTACAAATGGATAAGGTTATTATCTCATGATATTTCAGCTCCACTTTACGCCCTCAATTAATTTATAAAAACCGTCTATTTCAATAACATTTTTTGAATTTCAAACAAATATTTATTTATTGTTACGAAATCTTGAAGTACACATCGCAAGTATTTTTTCAAATGCATACATCAGTCATTAGTTAGGTACTCTGTTCTTAAATTTCAATACGTCATTGAAATATACATATTATTCTTAAATTTCTATTCCAAGTTTGTTAATTTTGAATATGAATTGAGAATGAAATTCTGAAATGATATATCAAATCCGCAATGTAATGGGCAATCACAGAAGTTGCACATTAAAATTCAATACATTCTTAATTTTAAAAATGTTTCTGAAACTTAGCATACGAGATTCTGACTTTCCCATTACATTACATGTTTGTAAATCGTTATTCAGAAATTCGGTGGTCAATAGTTGTAATATTAATAAAATTTCTAACTGGTTTGTGTGCTATTGGTGTGAATGCTGATGACAAAGAAGTTAAAAATCACTCTGTACAATTTGAAGCCATATTTCTACCTTAAATTGCTTTCTTCCCAGACTATTGAGTGAAAGTTTAGGCTTTAATATACAATTAACGGTAACGCTACCCGTGTAACATCAGATTGTTATATTTTTCTTAATCAAGCCTTCAACCTTTTAATTTAAATTCCGCGGGATATTGATAGAGCAAAAAGCTCTGTGTTATCATAAGCCATGGAAACTAAAAGCTGTGTCTGCTTAAAACTGCGTTCTACCTCTGCTGGTTACTACAGCCAGTCCGCTCGCTCGCACGCTAGAGTAAGCATGAATATTGTTACTGTCCCTTTGTTACTCGTTTATTCTCTTTAATTTATAAGGTCTTATTAATCTTTTATCTAGTGCCCAAGCTTAGTGCCAATATAATTTTTTTTGAAAATTTTAAAAGCTAGGCTACTATTATAAGTCACGACATCCTTATCTATTTATCCAAAAAATGCTGCATTAATTTAAAAGAATACAAAAACGTTAATTTCATGACATTCAGTGCTTTTAATAATAATATTCCAGCTGCCTTTTTATATAAATCAGAACTGATTTATACTTAAAAAAGAAATGCATAAAAGTGATTTCATTCTACAGATAAATAAAACAAAAAAAGTATTATTAGAATATCGAAAAGTATGATAGTACATTAAACAAATTTACCTTCATACCCTCTTCCCATGAAATCCAAAGATCTCCACGAGTGAGAAAGCAAGCAACTGCGTGTCTAGCTAAATGGTGGATCCAGCCTTCTTCACGCAGCTGAGTCATTATTGCATCGATCCATGGAAAACCCGTTTGGCCCTGCAGAATGCGCTCGTAAGCAAATATTCATAACATAAATTCGAATAGGTTTTTAATTATATTCAAATAATTGAATAAGTTCATTCAACTATTAAACTTATTTTTAACTCTTTATTCTTTATAAGCTTTGTGCAATACTAAAAGAAAGTTTTAAACATGTATTTTTCCTGAAGATCTGAATGAATCAATAAATTAGATGCTTCACTATGATGTGCTGAAAAACAATTTTATTTAAGTATGACTCACTTGGAACAATGTAACATAAACTATTATCATAGTAATGTTATTGTAAGCTTAAATCGGAATTTATAATTTTATATCATTTTTGTGAGGCAAACAAAAGAAGTTAAAAATCACTCTGTACAATTTGAAGCCATATTTCTACCATATCGTATCTTCAAACATAGCGAGTTAGAATTTTCTATGAGGTTATTTTTCGTTGAAAAATTGCAAAAAAGAATCTAAAACTTTCTTATTTTTCTAATAGATTTCTCGTCATTTTAAACTTAANCTGCTACTTCATTAAATGCTCCTGAGCATTTAAAAGAAAATTTTTAACTTTTCTGTATCATTAACTAAATAAATACCACTATTTGCAAAATCAAAGGGACTAAAGTATTTTCAAGTGTGTTTTGTATCAGGCTTTAGTAATTGCAGGCTATTTTACGTTGTAACTTGTGATGGCATTTTGTACCAATGTTTCCTGAAATAAAGCATTATAAGAAGTAGCGTATCGTATTCGATTATAATGATGTATTATATAAGTACAAGAGTGCGTAATGCTAAAAAATACGGTTTTTTATTCCAAAAGTCTTAGAGTTTTTAGTAGAAAATATCAGTTTCTCTTATGCGTAAATTTACTTATACACGTTCATTGATATACGCGACTTGATTTGCTAAAAAGCTGATGTTGCCCAGGCTAGCTATAAGTTTAAAAGCAGAATTGTCAGAAAAAAAGCTGTCGATGTTAGGTGCTTATTTCTTATAAGTTATACTTCTATAGGAGCGTTTTGCCCTACGGAGTACATCAACGATATCAGATTGGTAACCTTGAGAAAAAGTGTAACAAAAGTGGATTTTGCTTGATTCACCCCCTCCCCTCCATTACCCCTCCCTCATGACGTACTTCCAGTCCACAGTACACCATACGACGCCACCACACCACACTGCACAACCTCAAGACACTACACTACAGCACACATTTTAAATTTTATTTCTTTTTCCTTTAACCCATTTCTTTTTTCTGAACAGTTTCCGAAGAAATTTAATCCCTCAACCTCTTGCACACAAACTAAGACCCTTACCTACTCTGCTATTAGCGGTCCCAATGTAGTAAATTACAGAATTCATGATATCTTACAGTTCGTGACTTTTTATTAATGCAAAAGTTGACTAATTGTGTATTTATCCATTCAGTTTGATGATAAATTAAATAAATAAATAATTTATTTATTGAACTATGTTTTTTAGGAATATGTTCTTGTTTTTAATTAAAAAATTAGTATACATTACTAGAGCAGCTTTGATCCGTCTTCATAAACACTTATTGACTTATCATTGGTTTGTTACTTTTAAAATGAACAATTGTTTATACAATTGTTTTACATTCTTCGAAATTTTTATAATTTAAAAAAAAAACAATTTTTGTACTGTATAAATGCCAGAATAAAATTTTTTCATCATTTTTTTCTTTAGCACTTTTTCTCTTGTGATTGTAGTGTTTATTTTAACATGGTTAGTGGTAAAAGAAGTCAGCTTAAAATCAGAGAGGCGAGAGAAGTTTAACTTTATGCAGCAATGGAGAAAGTAATTTTTTTATACGGATTTACTTACATACACGCTTTTACGCATACTTAACCACTTCAATTTTATATTATTAAGAAAAAAAAAAAATTAGTAAGACAAAATTATAGATCTATTTAACAATAAAACAGGCTTATTTGAGAGTAATTTTTCATACAAACAAAAATTAAAAGGCTCATACAGATCTTATAAGTGCAATTTTAAGTGACTTTTACATACGATTACATTTTGAATTGTGAATTTTTACAATGAAACTGGTTAGAAAGGGTACAATTGAACGATTGAAAACTTTTTTTTGGGTATTTTTTGTGGTATTCTTAGTATATTTTTAATGCTTGAATAATATATGTCAAAAAAACTTATGTATACATAACGTTCTGAAGGAACATTCACTGGCTATGTTCTTTAAGGAAGTGGTACTACAGGATGGTTTGTATTAATTTTTCAGATATAATTACTTTCTCAGTACTTAGTATGAAGCAAGAATGGGTGTGTTAGCGTGACGTTAGAAATGTTATCAGTGTAGGTGGTAGGAAATTGTTTTCAAACTAATGAAACTGCATAGTGTCATACTACACAGTCTACATGTTTTGTTTGTATTGTGTAATGCCATAATATGTTGATTTTAGTCTTTCAGTTACAAATGATTACAATATTTATTAAAACCCAACCCAGCTAACCTAGGTATATTTATTCCAATGGTAATTGCACATACTTTGTACACAACATCGTTTGATGGAAAGTGTATATAGATTTATGATTATATTATGCGCCAATTAATATTATGGAAGAATATCTGTATACTTAAATATCAAAGCTCTGACTGTTTACTGGTTTTCTAAAACGAAACGTTTCGGGCAAGAAAAATGATTTTTTTTCCTATTCATAACTATTTACTACAGAACTTTGTAGTGACTCTATTCACAATTTTTTTTATCCCTGAATAAGAGATAAATTACTAAGTCAATAAAGGGGTTGTGCATAATAATGTGACGTGTAAAAAACAGAAAAGACGTAGAATATTTTTGAACTCCCCTGATGTGGTCTGGACCAGACAGAAATGTAGGAATTTCTTTATAGGGTACACTGACACGTTGTGGTGAGGACAAGAGAGAGTGGTGGACATCGTACAAACGTCGTGATGTGATCAGGGCCAAAAAGAATGTTAGACATTCTTGTACTTCCAGGACTCAAGTGTGCCAACTGGTATCCCCTACAATTTCTGAACTCTCACGTCAGTGGGCTGGGGAGAGGAGGCCGTTAGCTGGTACTTCTGCACTGCCATGACTGGTCCATAGCTTGTTATAGTAGCATACTCGGTAGCAATGCTGCGAGGAGTTTTGGCCAAAAAGAAAAAGCAGTAGCGTATACTTTTGCATAAACGCAAGAGGATGAGAGCTAGAATAATGGTATAAAACGGTCAAAGAAAAGATTTGGAGCAAGCATGTCGCCATTTTAAAATCAGTTTTTTCAAAATTTGTTTGGAGTTATTTTGAAATTAGTTTTAAGGATAGCTTTGAAATCTGGCATTGGATGTACTTACAGATTAGTTTTGAGATCAGTTTTAAGATGTCTTTGAGGACCTGTTTAGAAACCAATTTTAATATCAGTTTTGAGATTAGTTTTTAGACTCGTCATGAGAAGTGCTTTAGGACGACTTTTAAGATCAGTTATCAGATCAATTTCAATATCAGTTATAGGGCTAGTTTTCAGTCCAGCTATTAGATTAGTTAAGAGACCTATTAGGAGACTTCCTTTGAGACCAGTGAGATAGAAGAGTGTCGTCAGCAGAAGAGTGCAGCTGGTATACTTAGCTGTACGGATTACATCTATATCTTTAGTGAACTACCAGTGAATACCTATGGTACTTGGCCAGTTTTTCGGGTATATTATAATAAGACTCACATGTTTTTGTTGACAGGAGCTTCAACTTAACAAAACAAAAAAGTTTAAAAAAAAGTTGTTAGTACCTAGTACCAATTATTTTCTTATTGCCGTTACATTTATGCAATATATTGAAACAACGTAGTGAATTTTTTTTAAAAATAGTAAAATATGTATTTGAGCATAATTTGTGGAACAAAGTCACACATGCAGTGTACTTTAACGATATTATCTTACTTTAACGTTATTATAATATTAAAATGTCAGTAATTTATAGGTAAAGAATTCCATAGAATAGATTATTGAAAAAACATCAAAGAGAAAAAACAGTTTATACGTACGCATTAACCTCTTACTGATATTTTTGTTGTTATTACTTAGACTCTTGATAACTCGCCGGTTAAGCTGGCAGTTTCTGTCAAAGCATTGGATTCAGGCTAATCAGTATCCTTGTAGTAGCCCCATGCTTCAGGGACTACTGCTTGCCGGTAATTATATCTTAGACTCTTGATAACTGGATGGGCTTAATATAAGGGTTATCTTCTATATTCTAAGCAAAATCTGCCTCATATTGCACACAAAAAACACTACTTGAAAAAGCACTATCCAGTTAAACAAATGAAAGAAAATTTTGTGATACAAGGAATTACATGTGACTTGAACATTACCTTATGGTCAAATAAATACCTGGATAATGTGTGCAATAACGTTTTTCGGTAAATTCCTTTCCTATTTTTATAGTTACTTCTAGACGTAATTCTCAGCTTTAAAAAAAATTTAGATAGTTTAGCTCCAAATGTTCACGCGACAAAAAAAAGTGGAACATCAGAGTTTCTTAAATTTGAAATTGAAGACCCTCACTGGTGTGGTATTCGTGATCAGTTAATTTTAAACCCCACACGAACATACCTATGTCAGCCATTATCCTGCAACTCTGAGAGATGGAATGGATACTGTCCACCCTGATCTCCAGGTAGCTCAGAGATAGTTAGTGGCGTGGGATTCGTGATCAGCTACTAAAAAAATCACTGTTAGAAAGTATCCATACTGGGCATTGTGCCATAACTCCAGGAGACACTGTAAGTACTTACTGCCTTAGTATGGGCTCTAGGCGATTTGGAGGCATTTGCTGACAAAATATTTGTAATCCACGTTTCCGAAAACCCCCTCAAAAATTAACTACATCTGACATTGCTCTGTAACTTCAGTAGATGGCGTAGGTACTGTCTATTCTGAGCTCTATGTACCTCGGAGATACTCGGTGGCACAGTAATCGCGATTAGCTACTCCAAAAACCCCTGATAAAGCGCTTT